AAGAAGAAGAAGCTATTTTCTTTTTCTTTACTCTGATTGATTTCACTTATTCAATTGTAAAGGCGGTCAACAATCGGGAGACATGGAGGGTTATGTGGGGTTCCATGCTGCCTTAAGGCACTCTTACCACAAATTCGTAAAAAATCTCGCTAGAGACTGCAAACAGGTTGTGAGGCACCATCTCGATTCAGTCACCAGCCCATACTCCCTCGTCTGCTATGAAGCCGACACCACCACGCCTTTGACTTTGACCAACCGAGCACACCAGATCATCCAGCCCTGGTCGTTCAGCCTCGACCTGTCGGGCGTGGGACCCACAAACGAGACCACTGTTGAACAGGATAACATTCCCCCCGAGAGAAACGAGATCGTCACGCCTGGGAAAGCTGCTGCAGAGCATAGGGAAGCTCTGAGAGAGTGCCAAATGACGGTGCCCGAGACTCCTTCGCCAGATCAGCCGTGTGAAGCGAGTTGTGTTGTGAAAAAGGAGCTCGGAGGGGGTCATTGTGTGGTGGAGTTGGGGCTGAGAAAGCGACAATCGAGGATCGGGCCCAATAAACGGGCCCAAAATGGCGGTGGGCTTCTGCTTGGGGGTGGGTCTGGGTCACCGCCTTACGAGGAGATTTGCTCGTCTGCTGCGCGGCATTTCGCGCGGATTCGTGAGGTGCTGGTCGAGAGGGGTGTGGCTTCGACTCTGAATTCCGGGTTCTTGACACCTTGGTATTATTATGTGGCTATGAAAAAAAACCCATCATTCTTTATTCTTATTGCTATTGTTATTATTATTGTTGAAAAAATATTATTATTTTGTAGTCGAGAGCGTCTGATGGTTGAACTGGGGCTGGATTTGTTTGCTGTGACTGACGAGAAGTTTATGGAAATGTTTGTTGCGCCTGGAACAATCGACCTTCTTGAAAACGAGAGGCAGTCGCTACAAAAGCGCCAGAAAATACTGAATTCGTGCTTGAGTGAGTTCAAGAATGTGGCCAGGGCACTTTGATTGAAATATTTCCTTTTTGTTTTAGCATTTGAATACCAAAAAAAAATAAAAATGGAAAAAAAAAAAGTTTGATGAATTTGATTGCTGGTGAGGTAGTACGGATTCTTGGTTTCACAACTTGGTGAAAAAGATCAAGAATTATAGAACGTTACATTGTGTGTGATATGTAAAACAGTAATACTTGATTGTAAGGGGAAAAATGTTGTCTTTCTTTTTCCCAATTTGGAATAATATATATTTGGTGTTGTGTCAAATGGTACTTATGATTTTACTTTTATTTTTATCCTTAACCTGGTTCCTTAATGTGAGTATATACATGGATAGCATGCATGAATTCATGAGTCTAACAAAGTACTTAGAAGCAATAATTTTCTTCTTTCTATCTCAAATTTGTGTTTTGGCAAAAGTTAAAGAAGTAAACCAGCATGTTTTTCCTTGATGAAATCTTGAAAATTTGCATGAGTCAACAAATGTACCCTTGTGAAATCTAAAGGAGTTGGTACATTGGAGTTACGAAATTGGTGACTTTTCCTCTAAGGAACTGGTAATATTATAACAATAATTATGTAATAAGATTATTTTCAATTACTAGCTAGTGCCATTTTTAAGCAATATAGGCATTTTAAATGTATGAGTAATATTATATTCAAATGGAGACAGACAGCTACATATCAGGCGCATGCCAAGAGAAAATTGAGACCATCGATTAAATTTGTATGCAGATAATGAGTCTGGGTCCCAGGCCCAGCCCATCTGCCTGTGCTTCAGGAATCCAGTCCAAGAACTGAATATTATTATTTTACTTACTTGTTTACACAGATAAAACTTTCACAATTTAATTTTCATGTAAAACGAATGTGCAAGGTCAATATCATTTCTTTCTTTTCTTTATCTTTGTCTTTTATTGACCCAAATGGGAGTCATATGAACCTGGTTATATGAACCTGGTTAGTAATAACATTTACTTTGCCTCCATGAACATATATATGATTTTTAGTAATATCATTAATTTGTTGGTTAGTTATTAGCTGACTTAGCTGTTAGAGATTAGCAATTCTAAGAGTGTCAATGTCTGAACTCTGAAGTTCAACTATGAAAGGGGTTTAAGAATCACTTTTTTTACAATGGCTTATTCAATTTATGACAATAACAAGTATAGCTTATACCATTTAAACACTCACATTCATTTCGAAAAAAGATCTAAATGACACAAAAATACTAATTTCCACAAAAAATGGAGAGTTGATAGAATATTTCAGTAAGTTTTGATGGCATGTGCTAACAAATATAATCCAAAATAGGAGCACACAAGTCAACTTCACAAGACTTTGCTAACATGCTAGGCCAAATTAGTATGGCCTAATCAAACCAAATTTTAAAATAAAAAATAAAAGCCACCCAACCAATCAACAAAACTTCAAGATTCACTCATTCTGTCTCTTGGTATAATAACAATATATAGGCCAAAATTCACAATAACAATAGACTGCTTATCTTGATCTAGCATATATGGTCCACAAGAAGTCACACACTTTGAACAATTACAGTGGTTAATTAGTTTTGAAGAAATAATTTTTATATATTAAGATTATTATTCACTTTGGTTACTTACCTTTTCTGGATAACTGGTACTTTATCAATTCAACTTGAGTGTTTACATAACAAAATCTAAAATCATCTAATATATTGAAAAATAATGCTTTGCTTTTTGCACGAATTACATACATTAGGTTGACAATATCTTTATAAATATTATACTTTAAATAATATAAATAAAAGTATGTCATTTGACAGTATACAATATAAACATAGTATTACAAGTCCAGCCACATAATGGTTAGACCAATTCATAAAAAAATTAGTGTCAAAATTGAGCTATGCTTTAGGCCAGCCTCAATTTGTACACAGCCTAGTGAATTTTACAAGATCAATAACAATTCAGTTATTAATTTAGCAGTCAATAATGAAATTAATTAACAGTCATAATAATTATTGAAGCCTATAAAGAAGGTGAGGTCACAGATTTCCCGCCATAGAGCTCTATTAGTATTAATTATCTCTCAATTAACTCGAAGCCATTAATGCTAATGAAAGATAAATAATTTCTCACTTATGTTGAGACTAATATTTTGAGTAACCAAACCAAGCTAATCTAACAGATTCAAATAAAATGTTGACATATTTTATTTAATAGCTTTTTTATAACTTACATTATTTTAATCTTGGTCATGCTTGGTAATCAGTATTTGAAACTAAATTAAAGATACCCGTCAGAACCTCTAATTTAATTGTTTGGTACGTAGCGATTCGAAATAACATTTTGGATCCAAAACGTTAATTTTGAAAAAACTCAATATGAGCTTTTCTAATGAATAATTGTAAAATCAATTTTTTTTATCAAACAACTAATTATTTACTAAGCACTTTGCATAATAAACTAATTCAATCAACATCAATGCTAGAATGGAAGTTGCTTTTTTTACTTTATGGGTCGTTCTTTATATCAGTCATATATGATGAAATTGGAAAATTATAGCAATTTAATAATCAAGTTTCATAATTTTTGATGATTTTCTTATTGATTGTACAAATCCAAAGAAATCAGTAAATAAGCTCTTGCATAAGGGAATATAATAATGCTAGCATTTATATTATGGTTCACCACTTAATTCTATCCCTTTCAATGGGAATTCGATTCTTTGTCACTTTGCTCATGAGGAAATAAACAAGCAAATAAAACAAACTGTCATAAATTATTAAATTGAATGCAAAAGCACCTTTTTACATTGTTAGTTACAATATTTACATGATTGAAAAGCATTTTATGGAATGAAATCTAAACTCTTAAAATGTTATTTTGCATGTGCTTTTTATTTTTCTCTAAATAGAAAGTGAAAGGATAACTTTGGTGAATGAGAAGCGAATAACACGACATTGAGATCAACAATCATAAATTTACAAGTAGATAAAAATAAATAAATAAAATGTTATATAACTCGAGCAACTATCAACTCAAAAAATTCATGAGTATTTTTAATTGAAATTGCTGTGTTTTGATTGAGTGTTTGATTACTTAAATCTATAATTGAATAATATTTGAATTGTTGAGTTATAGATTGATAGAAGTTGTGATGAACAAGAAATTTGGTTCTAAAAAAAAAACAACAACAACAACAACTTAATTGTATTCATATAAATCTATGAATTTGAGTTAACACTACGCCAAAAAAGGCTTCAGATAGCGCTTCTTTTTTGCTACAGATAACGCTTTTAAGCGTTATTGGAGTCAGTGTTATCTGAAGACAGGTCTCTTCAGATAACGCTTATAAAGCGTTATGTGAAGTAACCTTTCACATAACGCTTTTTGTATTAAGCGTTATGTGATTAACCTATCACATAACACTTATTTATATTAAGCGTTATGCGAATAACCTTTCACATAACACTTTTTATATTAAGCGTTATGTGAAGAACCTTTCACATAACACGTTTTATATTAAGCGTTATGTGAAAAACCTTTCAAATAACATTTTTTTATCGTTGTGTATTTTTTTTTTTAATGCTTTTTGTGTCTGTATTCATTCCACCCCCTAAACATCAACCAAACGTAAATCATAAACACCATGTACCAAGAAGAACCAACAAGAAAACAACGCAAACATGAATATAACAAAAGTTACTAACACAATCCACTAGTTTTAACATTTCGTGTATGTACCGGAGAATAATGTAGCACAAAATCGTGAAAAAATCGTATCTCCAATTCCAAGAAATCAAGAAAAACAACTAATATTCCTAGTAAAAAAATCGCTCACTATTATCCAATATCCTGATCAAGACAATTTTGATGGCATCCTCCTGCATCACAAAAGTAGTACATATATTGATATCAAATTTACGTCATTTCATCACATCATATAAACAAAAGAAACTGTATTACGAGTATAACAAAATACATACCTGTTAAGTGCGAAAATAATGTGTGTATCTGCCATAAATACAAATTGAAAAGAAACAACTCAATCATTATCATTATTTGTTATTCTCTGTAACAGATTTGAAATTTAACACAATAATAACAACAAACGAATCGACACTAGTAGAGTTTTTATGTTAATTGGAAAAGTAAAAAAAAAATGGCAATTAAATTGAATATATATATATATATATATATATATATATACATTGGAAACGAAACATGGTTCATTTAAATACATTTATTCCTAAAATCAATTAGGCATGTAGAAACACTAACATATTATTAAACTTAGGGATTTCCAAGTGTTCATGACAAATTTATGCAGACAAGAAACAAGAACATAATGAATACTTTAAGAAGAATCCCCTCCAGTTTAAAGTGGATTGTCACCTTAATAATGTTCCATCCCAAATTAATTGGTCCTAGGACAAGTAGATCATTAGGCTTAAAAAATAGGTTCAATGTCTCTATCAGGAGAAGGGATGTGATCCTATAGGGTGAAGCACACCTTAAGCGAGTGATTCTAGTCGCCACCTTAGTGAAGTCTCATTTGGTGATGAGTGGAATAAATTGCATGGGTTATAAACTAAGTCTATTTTTTCTGGAACAACTCGCAAATAATATTCCAACACTATTAAACAAAATTACTCAATTCAATTATAACCCATGCAATAAGTGCTATAGACATAATCTACTTATAAAAAATATACAGAGTCCTAATTGTATCTCTAATAGTATTTTAACCATACTCAATTCCATCAACCAAAGTACGTAGCTGCTACTCATAATTTAGTTAAATAGAGACATAGCCCTAATGTATCCATTTCGATTACTTGAACCATATTGGCCAAAACATGGTTATTTAATAAATAAAATAAAACAAAACAATTCAGTAGGGATATATCGTCAACCATTACGGAAACAAATTGCACAATTTCAGCTATAAATGGACTAAAAGTTAGAATAATTAGAAAAGATAAGGTTAAACAAAGAGTGGGTCTAAGTACTATAGAGCCATTTATGTTGTGATAAACATGAATGAAAGAGAATACCTGCAGCTCAAGTGATGGTTGCTTCAGTGCAGATGGTACCTTTCCAGTATTTCCTTCACACTACATATATCAAGCCACAAAATGGAAAAGACAACTGGTGAAGTCGGGTACATTCTATACAACACAAGCTACAATAAAGAGGTCACCACTAAAACCAAGTGCTGCATGCATGTAGTATCTACATCCTACACCCCCGCATCTCAAACTCTTTACCTTTATATTACTTGGGAAATATGTTAATAAATAGTACAAAGGTAAAATATTAGTTATTTTTATATAACATCCAAAGCTTCCTGATCTTACAATCAACCACTCGTAGAACTCCACTTATTCCTTTTGATTATCTTTATATAAACCAATCAAAGCTCGTTCACATGATCCCATAGGATTATCATTGGCTAAATAGTTAGTGAGTTAAGTGTGCTGTTCAAAATAGTGAATTTTAATAGCTAGTTCAACCACCAGTTGTAAATAATATTGATTTTCTGGCACTCACATCACTTTTATCCAACAACTATATTATACTGGACTTCATGCCAACAAATACTATCAAACAGCCCATCAAAACCATTCTTATTATTTTTATTCTTCAAACAACCCAACAAATACCATCAAAACAGCTCTCTCACTGAGTCCACCACAGACTCTCAGAACTTTAATGGCACAATATCTGCGTATCACCTTTCAGACCCAATAAACTGAAAGATCCATATTCAGAACAACAACTGTTTCTCACCCATGACATCTCTTCAATTTCTAAATGAAACGAAAGAAAAATTTACCAACCAAAAAACACACAGCTCAACATGAAGACAATGAAAATTATAAAAGGAATTCCCTAACCTGCTAAAAAACAGGAAACGATTTCCACTGTGGAAAGCTTTGCCGCATATCTTCTTTATATCATCCCTGTTGAGTGAGCTCAATTGTTTACTAACAGCTGTCTGCCCGGACACAAATAAACAAACAGATTCAACATTATAGTTGCAACAAAGTCGAACATTCAGCTTGAATACGACCAAATATCAACCTGACGAGATGTTGAAATTATCAAAATTATCAAAATAACAACCAAAATGAAACCAAATTATCAAAATAACAACTAAATTGAAACCATCCCAAGCCATTAATTCCCAGTTAAACAGGGGTAATTCCCAATATAGTCAACAAAGTTAATTCGAGTACCTGAACCAGAATATGTGATTAGATGTTTGTCCAAAACCGAGAGGATGTCTCGGCAAATCTTGGAAGATAAAATTCGAGAAGAACGATTGAAGATAAAAGTCGTTGCCCTTGGTCGCTCGATTGAAGATAAAATTCTACAGAAATGTTTCTCGTTGCCCTCGATTTCTCTGGGAATTTTTCTTCTTGCAGTAGCACGCTAGGGTTCTTAGAATTTTCGTCAGTTTCTGTTCTCGGTTTTTACATAATTTGGCTTCGAGAGATTTTTTTCTGATAAATTTATTATGAAATTGACCTTTTTTTTTTTTTTATTATTAGTGTGTGAAACAATAGGATGAAGTGTTATAAAACACTATGTAAGTGTTATAAGTTAATATAGCACTTTTAAAAATAGTGTTATAATATGAACTAGTGTTATGACTTATATAGCACTTTTAAAAAAAGTGTTATGTATTTTTATTTTTCTTATAACGCTTGTTAAATTAAGTGTTATCTAAGAGTTGCGTGTTTTTTACATAACACTTTTTTAAAAAAGCGTTATGTCAAAAGTGTTATCTGAATGCATTTTTGGCGTAGTGTAAAACTGAAGTGAAATCTTTAAACGAAGTCAGTTTTGTGATTAGTTCATAGAAATTTATGAATTTTAAGTCAGTTAAATTGACATCTTTAAATGAAATCAGTTTTGTGATTAGTTCATAGAAATTTATGAATTTGAGTCAGTTAAATTGACATCTTCAAATAAAATCGTTGAAGAAAATACAATAATTATAGTGGCATTCTTAATCTATTACAAAATTTTCATTCCACTTATAATATAAGCGTAACACTTGCAATTGAAAAAAAATAATGTAACAATAAGCCAAAACCAAGCTGTAAAACTAAAGATTTATTGCTTGGATATAAATTTGTTTGGAAATATCCAATCACTTTTAACTAAATAATTTTTTTGAACTCAAAATCTAATTAAAATTTAATTCATCCTCACTCTTCTCAATATTATTACTATAATTAAATAATATTAATCAATCATCTTCACACAACACATCAAGTTAATTTAATTCACTATTCATTCACTCATACAATTTTAACTACATGTTACTTTTAATCACATCTCTCTTACTTTTACATCAAATAAATTTATAATTATTTTATTTTAAATATTATTTAATATAAAATTTAAACACACTCAAACACAAACTAATTTTTTAAAATTAATTATAATTAACTTAAAAATTAATCAAAATTCAATCAAATCTATGTGCAAGTAAGATTCCTAAACAAAAAAGACACTACAGTACTAAGTAAGATCAGTAAGATATAGAGATAGATTTTTGGAAATCCACACCCACATGCACATTATTATTATTATTATTATTATTATTATTATTATTATTATTATTATTATTATTNCAAGTTAGTAAATCAAAATTCACAATACTTTAATGATTCCAAAATAAATATTTAATTAAAGTTAATTCATTACAATAAAATTGCTTACCTAAGGCACTCACAAGTCAATGCCCTCAATTTATATTGTTTAGACTTTAAAATTATTACTTAATTTATGCTCAACCAAAAATATTTGTATTCCTAACCCCACTCTATAATACTTGTTTGTCTCCCCTCATTTCTTTATTTAGTTATATTTTTTATTTTGTAGAGTTCATTGCCATCTATTCAGTTTTATTCTTGAATGGAAGTGTATTTCTGATATTATAAACTTAAGAGTAAATATTGGCAAAAAGGACATAATTTGGTAATTATAGGTCAGATACTAATGTCTGTTTCATTATTGTCATTTAGATTGTAGTTTACAGGTGAGAAATAAAGAGAAATAAATGTTCATATTTTAAAATATAAAACAACATGAAATTATTTGAATTCGTTTTATAAAAGTGTGATCCTTTAAGGGGAAAAAAAAAAAGAAATATAGAAGAAATGTTTATATACTCTTATCTTCTAAGATATGAATGTACTTTAATTCCTTTTAAATCATGATTCCAAAAAGTAAAAAATAAAAACAACGAAAAGAAATAAGTATAATAGTGAAGTCTAGTGAGAGAGTGTGTGTGTGAGGGAAAACAGAAACCCCTCTCAAAACTTCACAACAGAAAAGAACTAAACAGTAAACACACAAAAAAAAAGCCCCATTCATCTTCTTCTCCGCCATTGCCCACCAAAAAAACCTCTGCTCAATTCGAAAAACTCCCAATTCAATTTCATGCCCCATCTGAGGTGAACTGAATTGAGACTCTCTGAATTCAAAGGAAAAAAGGGGGCATAAAATGGAAATCGCCTCATCAATACCCCTAGAGAGAAGTAAAATATCGTCTCCGGCGACTTCCCCTTCCGCCGGCGGCGGATTTCCGCCGCCCCACCCGATCCCCACCCCGCCGCCGACCCCGAGTCCCGCCGCCTCCAGATCTCACGAGTCCTCCATCCCCCACCCTACCACCTTCGTCCAGGCGACCGCCTCCAACTTCAAGCAGGTGGTGCAGATGCTCACCGGATCCTCCGGCACCGCCGTCGTTTCTGCTGGCGGCGGCGGCGGCGGAGGCGGAATACCTCCGATCAAGAGCACCAGCCAGAAGAAGCAGGGGTTCAAGCTGTACGAGCGGCGGAACAGCCTCAAAAGCGGCCTCATGATCAATACCCTGCTTCCGGCGCGGTTTTCTGGCCGGAAGACCGAGATCCTGTCCCCGAGCTTGCTCGATTTCCCGTCCCTGGCCCTCCTCAGCCCGCCGACGCCGCTGAACGGAGACAGCCTGGGCAGATCGGCCGCGGCGCCGTCTCCGACGTCGGAGGAGGAGAGGGCGATCGCGGAGAAGAAATTTTACTTCCATCCATCGCCGAGGACGAAGTCCGGCGAGCCGCAGCTGCTTCCCCTTTTTCCGGTGACCTCACCGCGAGTTTCCGGGTCGGAAAATTGAATTTTAACCTTTTTATTTTTTGGATTTGAAGCGATTGGTTTAGTTAATGGAGAGGGATTTTGAACTTGTGCTGGTTAAGGAAGCAAAATTATTTGCTCCATTGGTACAATTTGGTATTTCTACACGTTTTCTTCGTGTTTAGCTGCAAAAGGAAAAACTAAAATATTGGGAAAGTTAATGAAAAACAAAAAACAGAAAAAATAATAAACCTTCGCTCGTTTACACAAATTTTCGTACGATACAAATTAACCGTTAAGGGGTCAACCTATGTATGGTGAAAATTTATAACTACAGTCAATGAATCTCTATATGGTGAAAATGTATTATTGCATAATCGTTATTTCTATCGTTTCGAACAAAAAAATAAATAAATTATTGCATAATCGTGAATGACTAACCGTTAGATTGATTACTGCTTAATTACCAGGCTTGTCTATCAGAAGATTTACTGTATCATTTATTAACCTTTATTTTGTGTTTATTAAACTTTATTTTTATGTTATTGAGTTTTTATTTACACAAATTTTCGTATGGGCTTGTTATCAGCAGGACAGTCTTATTGTTTCGTTTATTATTTTTTATTTCAAGTTATTGATTTTTTTATTTTTTTTTTCACACAGATTTTGTATGAGACTATTGGGTATCCTTTAACATTTCAATTTCAATTTCAACGTATTGTCTAATTGTTGTTTCATTAATTAATTTGTTTGAAGTTATTGAATTTTTTTCACACAAATTTTGTATGAAACTATGGTGTATCCCTTTAACATTAAGTCATTAATTTCAATTTCAACGTATATAATTGTCTAAAATTTATTTTTAATGTATATTAATTGTATTAACTGTTATGTCTATGTATAAGCAATACCAATTCGTTTATTAATCTTTCTTTNTTATTTCATCTTTCACACAATTCTTACTTCAGTTAACCAACGGATTTCGAGCAAAAGGACAAAATATATTAGAAAAGAAAAACAGGAAACTGGAAACATGTTTGCTTTTTTCTTTTCTGTGAGCTGAAGTTTTTACTCTAAAAGGCGATTTACTTTTTTGTGATCAAAATCGTATTCCGTGCATTCAATCAAATAGTGGCTTAGAAAAAGAACAGTAGACGCAATTTTGAAAAGTTTCACAAGTGTGGTACTTATAATTAGTTTGTGTACGGTAATGGAAATAAATCACTTGTATTATTATTATTAGGTAATGGAAATAAATCACTTGTATTATTATTATTATTATTATTATTATTATTATTATTATTATTATTATTATATTCACCGATAATAATACCACACATAACTTGGTTCAAATAAGTGATAAAAATCATAATTTGGCGCAACGTAAAATCACCCAAAGTCACGACATTATTATTGTTATTATCTATTCACCGATAATAATACCACATAGCTTGGTTCAAATAAGTGATACTCCCTCCTGTTCAATATATTTGTCGTTCTGGACATTCGCACAGGTATTAAGAATTTTTTTGGTTGCCTATATTACCCTTATTCAATGAATAATTAACATTAATTAATGGCCATTAAAACAGTAAAAAGATAAAGGAAAAATAACTTATATGGGTGGAAAAACCCTTCGTCTTCCACGTTTTTTTCTTTTCAAACTTTGAGTTCACAATACAGAGCAAAAATATGTAACAGAGGACAAATTTTGGAGCCAAATTTTCAATAAACCATAATTGGTGACTTACAAAATTTTCTTCAATGACTTACATATTTGGAGCCAAATTTTTGATAAGGAGGTAAACTCAAAATTCACCTTCAACATTTCAAATTTTGTGAGCAGCACCTAAAAATGACTATAAATATGGATAGGTTCATTATACCAATAAAAATTTGTAATGGCTTCAAACATTTCGATCGATTTGAATGAACCTCCTTATGACGTAGAAAATGATGTCTCGATATCTTCACAAAACATTATAGTCGAGCTAAATGCCGACGAAAGACCGGAAATTGGATACCACGTTATCGAGCTCGATTTAAATCAGATTTTCGAAGATGATGACGAAGCGAGGTCCGAATCATCCGTGGAAGAGATAGTTAGCCAACAAGCCAATGGTGGAGAAGGAAATAGAGAAGGTGTAGTTCAAGGACACGTAATATCGGGTGGACAAGAGATTTTCAACGAGTTTGACGGCCGCAATGGTGAAACAAGGGAAACAAGCCAAGGTGAGTTTTATTGATATCAACTTTTTTCTGCTTGGTTGATATTGTTATTTTCTCCAAATTACCATAAGGTTATTATTGATATCAAATATTCCATGATTGCTCAGTTTCTGCTGCATTATGGTAAATTTTTCATGCAAAAGATTGTTATTGGTATACTTAAATCAAAATGTTTGAAGCCATTTGAGGAAATGTTTAAATCAAAATGTTATTGGTAAATGAAGCCATTGGTATAATTTTTCGTGCAAAAGGTTGTTTGTGTTGCATAATATGATTGTTATTCTTCTTAGTTTGCTTTTTTTTGTTACGTTGAGTTGTTGTCTCCAATCTAGTTATGTGTTTCCATTTGAAATTGCAAGAAAAGTTAAATAAAAAAGAGTGTGAGATCTTACAAGATAGAAACAATTAGTTTGATGTTAAGTAACTAAATTTACAATCTTTTTTCATGTCCATTCTTATGACTTAATGTAAATAATTCAAACACACTAGGCATGCAGTCATATTATGTAATCCGTACACATAATAACATAGCCTTATAAGTGGAATTGTTAAAATGAATCAAAATTTCCATTTTTAATTTTATAGAACACTCTGGTAGGAAACTGACTAGTCAAGCCAAAGTCATCAACAGACAAGCCAACTCTGATCATACAATGATCTTACAAACTCTACTTTAATTAAATTTACATTTTCTATTTTATTCACTTTCGAACTGTAAACAATACTCCTAACTGACTGCAATGTTCCATGTGAGTACAGAAAAATTTAGTTACTCTATTTTGTTACTTCACTTGCTAAAATTTAGTACAAAAAAAAATTCGTTACTTCACTTCCATGTGAGTAAACAATACTCTAATTGACTGCATGGTATATCTAGTTTCATTGCTTGGTTCTCTATATTAATTTGGTTATCACTATTTTAATAGGAAATGTTCAAGGGAGAAAGAACAGGATCCTAACTGACGTTGAACGGTGGGCAATTTACCATGCTTTATTGGAGAAAAGTGTAAATGGTAAATTAAAAAAGAACACAACAAAAGAAGTGAAGGATATGTTCAATATTCCGGAGCTGCGAACTGTTCAAAGAATATGGAAAATTCACAAAAGTACTTCACCCGGCTCAGATGTGGATGTTTCTTCGAGGAAAGCACGGAACTGTGGTCGTAAACGGATTGAAGTAGATTTAAGTAGAATTCAGCAGATAGAGTGGCATCAACGAACAACACTTACATCTCTTTCTAATGCTTTAGGTGTTAGTTATTCCAAATTGTATCGCCTTTTTAAGCGAGGTGTTCTACGTCGTCACTCAAGTGCCATCAAACCACATTTGAAAGAAGAAAATAAAACATCGCGACTAGAGTTTTGTTTATCGATGCTTGATGAAAGCACAACGCCGAACGAGCCAAAGTTTAAGGGAATGTATAACTATGTACATATAGACGAGAAATGGTTTTACTTGACAAAAAAAGAGCAAACCTATTACCTACTGAATGATGAAGAAGATCCTCACCGTACATGTCAAAGTAAAAATAACATTGCAAAAGTCATGTTTCTAGCAGCCACTGCTCGTCCCAGATTTGATGGTGAAGGGAGGGTGGTATTTTCGGGCAAAGTTGGATGTTGGGCGTTTGTGACAGAGCAACCAGCCCAGAGAAATAGCAAGAATAGACAAGCTGGCACGATGGAGATGAAGGCAATCACATCTGTTAAAAGAGAGAATGTGAAAATGTTTTTGATTGAAAAGGTTATCCCAGCTATTATGGAGAAATGGCCTAGCTCCGATTATGGTGAAACTATTTATGTCCAACAGGACAATGCTAGGACACACGTTCCTCCTAACGACCCTGATTTTGTAGCAGCAGCTTCACAAAATGGCTTCGACATTCGATTAACTTGCCAACCTCCTAATTCTCCAGATTTGAATATACTCGACCTTGGGTATTTTAGGGCCATACAGTCACTACAACAAAAAATGTGTGCAAAGAATATCCCTGAGCTTGTAAGTGCGGTAGAGAAGGCATTCTCTGACTATTCACCCATCAAGCTCAATTACGTGTGGTTGACGTTACAATTATGCATGAAAGAAATCATGAAATTAGGAGGAGGAAATCGATATAAAATCCCTCACATAAACAAAAAACGGCTTCAAAGACTAGGTCAGCTTCCTACACAAATTTCATGCGAGTCTACCTTAGTGCAAGCGACTAAAGATTTGTTAGCAACACGACTAGGTAAGTCAATGTTGACATTTGCTTCTCCTCTTCATATATTCACTATTATTGATAATGTTGTCATTTTGTTTCAGGGAACAGTTCGATTGAAGGTGGATCGGAAGAACTTTAGTCATGTTTGGAGAGTGCTTTATTGAGCGCTTAGTTAGCTTATGCCTATTCAAGTGACAATAAGTGGCATTTAGTTTCAGTTCCTGTGTTTTATGTTGAAGTTTCCAGCTTTTTTTTTTCTCTAAGTTTTGTGGTTTATGGTGAAGTTCACCAATTATGGGTTATGCTGAAGTTTCTAGATTTTGCATTTTTTTTTTATTATTATTATTTTGTGTTGTCACTTAAGCTAATGAATGGTGCTTGTGTTTCGTTTTTGGATCATTATCATGCGAATGCAAATGCTGTGTGAGCAGTGGCGAAACTAGAATCCGAATAAGGGATGCCCGATTTTTACCTTCAAACTATGCTCGAAATTAATTAAAAAGGATAGTCCAGATTTATACCTCCTCTCGAATAGACGAGAAACTGAAAGAATCGAGAAAAATGAAGCCTCGAACGATCGAACTCGTCCTCGACAATTCGCTTATTTTTA